AATACCGATCCATAGTCCTAAAGTAAACAAATAGGGGGATCTCCCGGGATACCGTCCCGTAGTCCCAAAGTAAACACACAGTAGCAACACGAAGAATATTCAGTTCAATCCAATTTCCTACCAAGGTAAACAGATATTTCTAACCTAGCATACTGCACAGAATTCAAATAAGGCAGTTTGAACAAATAAAACAATTAGGTCACTTAGACATGCTTCCCTAATCTAACAGTAGGTTTAAATTACAAGTAACGTACAACCAGGAAGAAAAACACAGGTATAGTTACTTAATGAAAACAAGATTGTCAACAATTAGCACATGTACGCGCTCGTCACCTCACGCGCAAGGCATTTCATATATCAACAACACCAAATCCTAAGGGGAGTTCCCCCCACAAGGTTAGACAAGGCACTTACCTCGAACCAGCTCAAAAATCAACCCGAAATCACGCTCTTGCCACGAGTACTCGACTCCAAATGGTCAAAATCTGTTCAAATCATCTGCATAATATAAATATAACTACAAGTAACTAATTCCACTAATTAATTCGAAGCTAGTATGCGAAATTAAAAAAATTGCCCAAAAAGCCACGTCTCGGAATCGGGTAAAATTTATATATTATAAACCCCCATTCACTCACGAGTCTAACCATATCAAAATTATCCAAATCCGGTGTCAAATCCCCAATCAAAACTCGAAAATTAGGCCTAATAACTTTTCCAAAATTTTCCCCAATTTCTCACCCCAAATCCGAAATTAGATGATGAATTCATGTTTAGATTATTGGGTTATAAGCAAAAAGAAGTTAAGAATTATTACACGCAAACTCCCTTCGAAAATGCTTCCAAATATCGTCTCCTACCGAGCTCCCAATTAAATTTTGTGATATGAACTCAAAACCCTCGATTTAGAACTTTATATTCTGCCCAGACACGACCTTAATCGCGATCGTGAAAACTCCCATGCGATCACGAAGAGCAACTTCACTGACCCCCAAATTAACCATACGCGAATGCGATACTCCCTACGCGAGTGTGATGCTTGCGCTGCTCAGCTCTATGCGATCGCAGTTGACCTTACGCGATGCGAAGAGCAACTTCCACTCCTCAGCTCCCTCACTTTTTCCTCTTCGCGAACGCGGCGTAGCCCATGCGTTCGCGATTCAACTTCTACCAATACAACGTATTCACACTCCCTTTCCCACAATCGCGTAGAAAAAAATCCCCTCTGCCTCATCTAAGCCTTCGCGATCGTGAGGTTCCTCACGCGATCGCGATGAAGAAAAGTCTGCAACAGAAAACCAGAAAACCAGAAAATTTCTCCATGTCCAAAAATGGTCCGTTGAGCATCTGAACCACACCCGAGGCCCCTGGGACCTCAACCAAACATGCCAACCAATCTTAAAACATCATTCATACTTGTTCCAACCTTCGGAACGCTGAAAACAACATCAAAACACCAAACTAACATCAGATTCAAGCCTAAGAACTCCAAAAACTCTCAAATTATGCTTCCAATCAAAAAGTCTATCAAACCTCGTCCGAATGACCTGAAATTTTGTAAGCACGTCACATTCAACACTACGGAGCTACTCCAACTTTCGGGATTCCATTCCGACCCCGATATCAAAATCTCACTATCGAATAGGAAACTTCAAAAATTCAACTTTCGGCATTTCAAGCCTTAATAAGCTACGGACCTCCAAAACATAATCCGAACACGCCCCTAAGCCCGAAATCACCCAACGGAGCTAATGGAACTGACGGAATTCTATTATGGGTCCGTCTTCACACTGCTCCGACTGCGGTCCAAATTCTAAAGCTTAAGCTCTCTTTTAGGGACTAAGTGTCCCAAAACACTCAGAAACTCAAAACAAATCATCCCGGCAAATCAAAATAGCAGATACAAATACGAGAAAAGTAGTTAATAGGGGATCAGGGCATTAATTCTTAAAACGACTGGCCGGGTCGTTACAAGGTAGTTCTTCTTTACCTATTTGATGCCAAGATTTAAAGTTAATACACCTATACCTTGTGCCGGACAAAGGAATCCTATCTAATATACTACTCCCTCCTGTCCACAATAAGAGACCAATTTGCTTTTGGTACACCCATTAAGAAAATACTAAATTCAAGACCAACATAGTTAGTGTGACTAAACTACCCTTCAATAAATGTTGCACCATAGTTATAGTAGCACTTACTTCTCTTCTCAAATGTGAGAAGCAAATAACTTTTTAGGGATACGTACATAAGGATAATTTTGAAAAAATAAATTGAATTTTTTCTTGATTATCTAAATGGACACTTATTTTGGACCAAAATAAAAAAGTAAATTGGTCACTTATTGTGGATCGGAGGGAGTAAATTGAATGGTGAGTAGAGTATCGTTCCCATGGAGATTTATGATTAACTTTTGATTGATTTAAACCCAAACAACTTATTGATTCAAGAGATTTCTAACAATACGTGTAAGTGACTAATTTACTACCTAAGAAACAATCAGGCAATGGAATAACTAGAGATCAACCACAACACTTCAAAAATTTCTGATAAAAATTAGTAGGAGAGAATATTCCAGGGTCATAGGCTAGCTAACAATCTTGTTGCGTTCTTGGCTTAAAATGACTAATTGATTTATCTGGATTGTTGATTGACAAGGTTGATATTACTCATAAGAATCTATCGAGTTCCTACTCGCCTATTCAAGCTAACTTAATGCCTATATGTCTATAGAATTAAGACTAACAAGAATGCATTTACACTTCATGTGTTTCAATCAAGCAAGGTAATTAGGTATATTTCTATCCTAATAGTGAATCCGTTCCCCGATGCTCGGTTCAAGAACTTGCTCTATTTAATCCTATATGCAATCTAGAATTCCCATTTTCGAGTTCAACTCTAGATCCGTAGATAGTATTTCCCTTTTAGCTACTTAGCAAAATAATTAAGAACAGAATTAAATAAATAACCCAATATGATAAAATCAAACTCGTCAATTTAAAATTCAAACGTCAACATTCATGTAGCACCAATGACCCCAGAATAATAGGGTTCTTAGCCACTCATGTTCATACAATCATCAAAAATAATGTTTTCAAAAATAGAATCAATGAACAACAATAACAACAACAACCTAGTAAAATCCCACGAGTAGGGTCTGGGGAGGGTAGTGTGTACGCAGACCTTACCCCTACCCCGAAGGGGTAGAGAGACTATTTCCGAAAGACCCTCAGCTCAAGATAATAAAAATAAGACAAAAGGAGAGGATATTAGATTCATCACGAAAATCATAGGAAAAATAAGACATAAAATGCAGAAGAAAAATGCAAAGCAAAAACGGTGGTTAGTAAATGGATCCAACGTCGAAAAAGAAAATAGTAAGACACGACATTGCCCCTAGCTCTCTTAGACAAAACCCTACCGAACTAGACTCAACTACCTCCTAGCCTACAACCATAATACTCGACCTCCACAACGTTCTATCAAGTGTCATATCCTCGAAAATCTGAAGTCTCGCCATATCCTGCCTGATCACCTCTCCCCAATACTTCTTAGGCCGCCCTCTACCTCTTCTCGTGCCATCCACAACCAGCCGCTCACACCTCCTTACTGGAGCATCTGGGCTTCTCCTTTGTACATGTCCGAACCATCTGAGCCTCGCTTCTTGCATCTTATCCTCAATGGGAGCCATATGTACCTTCTCCCGAATATCATCATTCCCAATCTTATCCATCCTAGTGTGCCCGCACATCCACCTCAACATCCTCATCTCTGCTACTTTCATCTTTTGGATATGTGAGTTCTTAACAGGCCAACACTCAGCCCAATACATCATGGTTGGTCTAACCACCGCATAAAACCAATGAACACTAGAAGAAGAATGGAAGAATTGATCAAATCCATGCTCCCAAGTGTATCGTTCTTTTGTTCCTCTCTCAAAGTCACGTCATCCCCCTCAAAAAATAGGTTTAGATTGGCTTTTATATGAGTTGAGGGCGTCTTGGGGTCGAAATAACAGAGTCTCGGTCGAAATAGGACAAATCTGCGTCACCAACGCTCAGGGCAGTGTGGGGGGCTGGCCCTGGCGCTGGACTTCTTCAACATTCTGTTTTGTGCGCCACAGGTAGCGCCACACGCTGCCTGTGGCGCTCAACTATGAACTTTTGCCTTTTATTCTCATTTTCACTCCAATTCGCGCACCTTCGTCCCAAATTGCATCTGAATGATTCCTATACATTGAAATACCATAAATTAACACAAATCATTATATTATATATCCGAAATCTACAAGGCATGAGCACAATGCGAGGCAATATACATAAAAATATGCATACTTTAAGCCGAATATCACCCAAAATGAATTTTTTTCTGGGTGTGGGAACTTCCTTAATTATATATTCAACTCTTTTTTCGGGTAATAATCTTCCGATTCTCCTACTTCCTTTAATTCGTTCCCAGTAAAGATGATCTACTTGTTCGTTGCCTCTGTCCACGTGAATTGGCTAAGCAAAAGGGATTCAAAAGAAAATGTTATAGGGCAAGATCCAACATGGAGTGTTAACATGTGAGGCAGAGCCCAGAAAAAAGATTGTTAAAGTAGGAAGTTTCGAAGAAAATACTCTATTGGACACACATCAAATTCTGCAAATTTAAGATCAGCTTGTAGTTGAAATAGAAGTTACGTACCAAATAATTCTTCCGAATACAGGTACGTTGATCTCATTGAATAAATGTGCTAATTCAATTGTAGTTACATAATTAGGTCAACATCAATCAGACATTGTTCTTTGAATTTTGCTCAGTCGTTGTAGAGAATCTTTCAACTCCGCCTAGAAATTACACAACTTGATCTCCTAAGCTTGCCTAGGACCACTATTAACCCTAAATAGTTGTGCTTCGACTTGTTTGATAAAAACAAAATATTTTTGTTAGATAAAGATCTCAAAGATTCTATTTCCTTGAAAACTCAATCCTTTTCTTATTGAGGTAGGACAAAATAATCACACAATTGGGATTAATTATAAAGTTGGGGGCTTTCTCCATAAGAAGTATTTGGTCTTTCTTCTTCTGCTTTCCAAAGTTCTTAACTTTGTCCAGATATATATCATCAAGAAAACATTACAAAAATGGCCATCAGAAAATCAAACAAGCTATCACAAGCTGCAGTGTTGAAGCAAATTCTAAAAAGGTGTTCGAGTTTGGAAAAGAAGCACGACTATGATGATGAAGATGGACTTCCCATTGATGTACCAAAAGGATATTTTGCAGTTTACGTGGGAAAGAACCGAACTCGATACATCGTACCAATTTCTTTCTTAATTCACCCCGAGTTTCAGTGCCGCCTTCATTGCGCAGAGGAAGAATTTGGCTTTGATGACGACATGGGCATCACCATTCCCTGCGAAGAAGTCGTTTTCCGATCGTTAACTTCCATGCTTCGGTAGTATTAAAGTATTTGAAAGAAGGAAAGAGTGAATATAGGTGTAAGGTTTTGTAGTGAAGAAGGATGGGCTAGCTCAATGTGAACAATTTGGTGTTTTATGGAGCGGCGGAGCCAGAATTTATACAAAGGGTGTCAAAATCTAAAGAAGAAGCACCTCTCTGAATGTACACTCTTCTAATCTCATCGCGGAGGTTTGGATGGTAGTCCAAGATTTAGTTCTTTAGGCCGAATCGGAGTTTAAAGTTTCAAGATTAATTTGTTGTCTCTTAGAAGAATGGAGTGGTACTTTCGATTGGTTGCCATCTTCGTTCAAGACTTCAAGTTAGACTGATTATTAGTGGCCAAATTTGATTTTGATACTACAATCTTCTTTCCAACTTAGATTGATTATGAGGAGCGGTCAAACTTGATTTTGGTACTTTGGAAAAAAACGGCTTCATTGATTTTTGATTCTGAATTATAAAATAAAATTTAATTAGAAGAAATACAAGTAATATTTTCTATAAAATATCACAATTCACCGTAATAACAATTGTCAAGTTTGTTAAGGTTTCTTGACTTATGGTACATGAATTTTCACTTTAAGGTAAAGAAACACTTAAACTCCAAGATGCTCACTTAAAGTTAAAGAAATACTTAAAAAGTCCAAGATGCTCACAGGAATTAAAAGCAGCCATTGAATGTAAATGAGAAGCTCAAATGAACGACACAAGAAACAGAGTAAAGGAATTTACACCAACGACCGCGAGTAGGCGACAACAATGGGCACTTGAGCAATTTTGAGAATGGGAGCACAGACGTCGTTTTAAGACCAACGATTTTGAGAATGGGCACTTGAGCAATAGACCATCGATTTACCCTTCTGACATGTAAAATAGAAATTATGTCGCGCTCGAGAATGAAACTTGCAACCTTCAGTTGCTTTTGACACCCCTTGACCGTTGCACTGAGAATTTGTCTTATGTCAAGGGTTATCAACCAACTGTATATATTCTATTTTCAAAAAAATATACCTATATATACAATGTAATTTTCCGGCGAATGGGTGTCAAGGGTAGCTCCGCTCTTGGTTTTATGCTTTTCTTTTTCCCTTAACATGTAAATAGGGATATCAAATAGACAGGTTAGACTAATTTTGGGTGGTTCAAAATGGGTTGAGTCAATAATGATCCGTTCAAGTGTTACTTTGCTTAAGCCGGACTGAGTCAAGATGGGCTAATATTTGGGTCATAGCCCAACCTCTCCAACTCTTACCAAACTTATCTTTTTCTTTTTTATGGTCATATATAACATATCAAATAATTTAAAAAAAGAAGAAGATATTTTAGCAAAGTTACTCATAAATCAATATATTCTAAAATTCACTAAACTTTAGATGGGTTGAGCTGGGCTAAGTTAAGAGGGGTTGAGTTCAACAAATGGACGGGTCAATGACCGACCCAACCATAGAGGGTTGGGCGGGTCAAATGAGTTTGGACTCAAATTGCCTTTGTAAATTTCCTCTTACCCTGATCAAGGAACCACATGGTATTAGTAGTGTTTTTATGGGTCAGAATCAGATTTGTAAAAGAACTTAGTAAATTTTTCCTTGCACTGGCGTTTTTTTGCACCCTCTGAGAGAAAAGAATAGCTCTCAATCTATTTAACATTTTCGATATAAATGTATCTCTCAATCTATTTGCATTTTTACTGCAACTTTGTTTGGGAAAAGTCCAATTTGAGCAAACTGGAATTGGTCTGATTTGTGATCTACTAGGCACTACACTGTCCATATTATGTTTTCCAAATTTGTTGTCACAGTAAATGGCAAAACCAATGGAGAGTTAACGCATTATAATAATTAACTAGGGCGCCATGTTAAAGGGGATGTATAGTCTGTAGAGTGCAGACACATCGCACAAGAATAATGCATCTATCATTTAAAAAAAAAAGAGTTTTGGTGCTATATCATACCAAAAAAATTGAAACGTTAATCTATGAAAATGTAGATATGCAACAATCTGTTAGAAGAATTCCCAATTTTATCGTATTTATTAAAATAGTAGGAGCAATATAGCGATAGTAGTAGTATCCATTTAGGCTACAATCCTATTTAAATTTTGTGCTTCATGTGAAGTTTGTTACATAATTCAACATTTTATCAAAGCAAACAAAGGCTCTTGTTTAAGCCTCATAGCCGGCTTTATTAAATCAAGGCTGCCAGTGATCAAACAATTTAACATTTTCATATTTTGTTCTAAGCTCCAATTGACTATCAAAATAAAAAAATAAAAAAAATTGTAAACTTAAAAAAACGAAGTTTATTTTGCACGCCAGAAACAATAAAAATGTACTGTATCGTAAAACAAAAGTTTATTTTATAAAATATAGGCCATTGTCATCTTTTTCTATAAGAAGCTACAATGAGAAAATGAGTAATCTTCAAAATCATTTTTATAGTCCAAAACAAACAGATCAATAAGAGTTAATAATAAATTTTGTGTATTTGCACCATTTCAGTAGTGCAAAACGCAAATTCCCATTTGAAGAATTCATAGGACAAGACATCTCAAATTCTTTAACATAGATTTCTTGTTCTCGCAGTCACTAATAACACTTTACACTTTTTTTGAATCATATGCAAAGAAAGCTACTTCATTATATTCTACCATCAAAAGTAGGGGGGTACAAATGAAACCGACAAATCGCACCAACCCGATAATTCGAGTTAAATCGAGAAAAAAAAACCCGACTATGGTTTGGTTTGATTTAGTTTGGTGTTGAAAAAAAAACCCAACCATATTTGGTTTGGTTTGGTTTTAACTAAAAAAAAGTCAAACCGAAATCAAACCAACCCGACATTATATGTATAGAAGTTTTAAATATATTTAATACATAAAAATATTTATTATGGTGTAGTTTATAAATTTTTCTTAAGCTTTTTCATAGTTTTATCTTTTCACGTATTATTTCAAGCTTGGACTAATAATTTTTAGATGCTCCAATAAATTTTATACTAGTTCATAAATGTTAGTAACTCAAATAAATCCTAAACCAATATCCAATCAATATTAATGCTAATAAAAGACATTCAATTCAATTATACTTTGAATGAAAATAGTGCTGGATATCTATTTTTTAATTTTTCTGTAGTTTAGATAAAATACATAACTTACTTTTCTTTTAGTGTTTAGTCATGTAAATAATAGTACTTATTAATCGCACTTATTTTAGCACTTATTAGTAATTTTAAATTATGTTTGTTTTCATTATGGCTTATTAATGATACTTACTTTATGTGATTTTATTATCTTTATTGTTGAATATTTTAGTACAATGTCATGACTCATCTCATATTTATGTTATTTTATTGAAAAACACCATATGTAGTTCTATCTTACTAGGATTAAAGAAATATTTGGAGCACAAATTCTATATTTTGTGCTATGAAGACTTTATGGAAAAAAACCCCCGAAAAAACCCGAAAACCCGAAAAATCCGAGATTGAAAAACTCGACTTTTATTGGTTTGGTTTGATCTTTAGATTTAATAACCCGATACAATTGGTTTGATTTGGTAATTAGAAAATCCGAACCAACCC